ACTAGCCTTGAGTTGGGCTTGGATAAGCTTCACAAGAGACGTCCTCTCCAAAACTTGAAGGAACAGTTTGGCCCATCTGTTTATACATCCTTGGAAGTTATCTTCTCCACTCCCTCTTGTTCCTTCCTCCAACCAGGCAATTCAGATTTAGACACAGGCTGGTAACTTCATGGAGAGAATGTGGGAGCTTTTAAATGCTGAAGACTCCATAAACTGCACGTTGTGCTTTGCCGGCAGCAGGTGTGGACGGCTGAGGTCTCGGAGAGCGAGGACTCCAATGAGGGGCCTGCGTGTGATGCAGGGATGGGGCCAGGACCATCGGGGAGTGGAGCGCTGCCTTTGGAGATTGTGGAGGCTGGCAGCAGTGATGAGGAGTTCCCTGAGGAGCCTGTGCTCAGTGGGCGTGTGTGCAGGGCTGCTTGAAAGAAAGAGCAGCTGCAGCAGCACAGGAGACTCGGGAGTAAGGCTGGAAGGTGATAGCCCCTCCCTTAAGAGATAAAAGCCAGCTGAGAAACCGGAGTTCTTTGCAGGAAACAAAGAAGTTTTTGCACTCAAGTCTTGTGGACATTTGGAATATCTTGGTTGGTGTTTGGAGACTCTTTGTGTTTGAAATATTTCTTAGTAACTTTATCTAGTGTTCCTGGCAGCCTTGCACAACCTTGGCAAGACTTGTTCTTATCAGAGACAATTAGTTGGAAACAGCCTTTTAACCGGGAAGGAACGGAATTCATCAAGAATCATTAAAAGGTTTTGCTGTTACCTCTGTTTCGTGTTTGTTTCCTTGGAACAAGGTTTGGGTCAGAACACTGCATTGATGAGAAGTCCTATCACCCTATAACCCCAAAGACGAGGCCAAAGCATGAAGCCTTTTCAGACACATTACTGGAAAATGGCCCTGGCATTGGGTTGCCTGACAAAGCTATAATGGCTCTTCCACCAACTCCATGCACTGAACAGAGCCCTGGACCTGGCTTGACTCCACGGAGAGAGATTTGCCTTTAGGTACATGAAGCTCATTGTCTGAAACTTAGGAGCTTCTGAGAGTTGGTTTCAGGATCTTTGTCTTTCCTCAAAAGCTGACCCCTGATTTCCAATTCCACGTAAGGGCCAAAAAATCAAATTGATCTCCATAACTATATCAGTGAAGGTCCTTCTTCTTTTGTGTGTATGTCAGAGAAGGGTAGAGAAAAATAATTTTAAAAATGAACAATGTCTAGAGCAATTGACAAAATCACAAGAAGGAATTATACTAATATTAATATTAATAATCATGAACTCTGAAACAAATCCTTTTGTTGAGTAAGATGATTTATCCTCCAATGGAAGATTCTTCCCCATTCAAATGACCGAATGCCTTTTTCGATCAGACAGCTCTTAGCATGGATTCCAGTAAGGCAACTCTGAAGAACAGGACAACTGGTGGTAGGAACAGCTTGAGAAATATATCCTGCAACACTGCATGTTGAACAGAATCCAGTTTGATTGTATTTCAGCTAATCAACAAATCCATCCTGGGGTCCACACGGCAATACTATTTTCCAAGCCACTTTGAAAACAAGGAAGACTTTCTGGAAGGCAAGAAAATGCCAAGGAGCCCAAATCCGATCAACATACAGTAATTTTCAAACCTCAAAAGGATCTATTGGTAATGTTGCTTTGATTAACAGAAATGCTGAAGCACTTCAGTCCTGGCAGTTGGATGCAAATACACTGATGGCCCATATAGCCAGCACAAATATTTCTGAGATGCTGCATTTTGTTCGCAGTGTCGCTTAAAAGGGACAGCATCCGCAAATCCTTGGGCATTTGTTTCAATGACTCTTGCTGAGTTGCATGAAACGTTCCAAAAGGAACCATACAATTCATTTTCCTCTGTAAGAACTGCCATAATCTTAACAGATTAACAGAATTGGAAGGGACCTTGTCATCTAGTCCAGCCCCCACCCCCCAAGCAGGAGACCCTACACCATTTCTGACAAATGACAGTCCAGTCTCTTTTTGAAAGCCTCCAGTGATGTAGCTCCCACAACTTCTGAAGGCAACTTCTGTTCCATGGGTTGACTGTTCTCACTGTTAGGAAATTCCTCCTTATTTCCAGGTTGAATCTCTCCTTGATCAGTTTCCATCCTTTATTCCTTCTCTGGCCTTTGGGTGCTTTAGAAAATAGCTTGACTCCTCCTCTCCCTGGTAGCCCCTCAGATACTGGAAGGCTGCTCTCCCGTCTCCCCTGGTCCTTCTCTTCCCTAGACTAGCCAGGCCCAGTTCCTGCAACCGTTCGTCGTATGTTTTAGGCTCCATTCCCCTAATCATCCTGGTTGCTCTTCTCTGCACTCTTTCTAGAAGTCTCAACATATTTTTTATATTGTGGTGGCCAAAACTGTTTGCAGTATTCTAGGTGTGGTCCTACTAAGGCTTACTAAACCTTGTTAACAACTGTGTCTTGGATGCTTACCTTCTTTCTTAGGTATCTGAAATCATAATAGCAAAAGGAACATGAAAGTGGAACAGAGGTTGGTCACCTCCCAAGACTGCTGAGAAGTCTAGAGAGAGAAGTTGGTCACTCATAACCTGCCTCTCCATGCTGAAAAAGTCCAGCACCTGCATTTCCCTCCCTGCCGTTTTGATATATGTGACACTCCCTATTTCTTCAAACCTCAGAACAAAACCCGAAAAAGCACATTTCTCCTGACCAGCCAAGACACAAAACTAAAGACATTTATAGTTTCTGGCATAATTTGGCTCAGGGATTCCTCATCAAAGATTTCTATTTCCCAAGTGGAATAAAGGCTCATATCCTGGCATATGTTAATAATTTAATATGCTGTGCTGCAATAGAGCCTTTTAATTTATTTTATTTATGCTGCTTTACTTTTTTTGCTACTAATGGTTTGAATTCAGAATGTTTCAAGTTTCAACATTCCCTGTTTGAAACAGGAGGCTCCAACTATGCTGTAAGTCTTAAAAGCTCAAAAAGATGTTTTGAATTCAGCTGAAACACATTTCATGTGGTTGGGGCAACCTGTTATAAACTCTTAAATGTCTAGACTGTAGGATCAGATACTTTCCTGTGCCTTTTCTAGAAATTGTCACAGTGAAGCATTATTATTTTGTATACATCTGCCATTAAACCTGAAATATTTGGATTGTGTTGTTTTTTTTAAGGAGGTTTAAGTCATTCAGGGAAAGCTTTCGCTCTACAGGATGGCCATGCATTTTTGAAGTAACAATAAAAGAATAAAAATATATTGCAGCTATAGAAGTACTTGACTTACGTCAGCAATCGGAATGGGAATTTCTGTCACTAAGGGACACCCCCAGCAGGGGAAACACACACATTGGAAAGCTGCGTTGGCCGGGAATGGTTGAGCACAAAGCAAAGCAGACCTGTGCATGGCAAAGGACGCCCTTTCCGAACTGCAGGAGCACTTAGCTGGAACTTGACACGAGGCACAATGCTCTCCAGATTGTCCATGCCTCCTGTTGGTAGGTTTGCTGCTGCAGCCACCCTTTCAAGACCCATGACTGTAATGCCCAACGCCACCCTAAGCTCATGCGGAAGCTCCCCTTTCAAATTACACACCTGGAAAGCTCACCACGTGCACAGAATGCACTAAACCAGGGGTGTCAAACTCAATTTCATTGAGGGCCGCATCAAGATTGTGTTTGACCTGGGGGGGGAGGGGCATGGTGGGGATGGCAAGGATGGGCGTGGCCAGCTCCACGTCACTCATCGAGGCTCCGTTTTGGGTCGTGATGGCTTCCTGCAGCCCTCCGTCAGTGAAATCGGAGCCCAGGAGGGCCGCGTGCAGAGAGCTGCAGGAGGCCTTCATGGCCAAAAACGGAGCCCAGGAGGGCTGCGCTCCCGAGCTCCATTTTCACTGGCAGTGGCACTGCCGGCCGTCCTTCTCGGTTTCCAGAGCGGGCCCTCAGGCCAGATCTAAGCACCCTGCAGGACGAATGTGGCCTGTTGGCCTTGAGATCGACACCCCTGCACTAAACCAAATAACATGTCACCTGAAGCCAGAGGTAGAGCAGTACAAACTGGTTCCCAGTCAAGCGCATCTCTAGTACATAACGAAACTAATTAAACTAGGGGTTGTGTGGTTGTGGACAACATTTTGACTTTTTGATCCCGGTTGACCCATTCCCAGCCTTGAAGAATCAAAGAATTCATTACTGCTATAAAAGTGATCACCCCGTTATAACCTTTTAATATGAAACATTATAATCAGTATATACATAACTACCTGGAATTACTCATTACTTTAATTCTACTTTAATCTAGTTTTTATGCTGGCTCCATCTCTTTTCTGGAAAAGAACCTGTAGCACAAATCTCAAATATAAAATGCACCCCATTAGTCATGAAAACACTGTGTTTCTTGGTATAGCATGTTGTGTGTTTCCAGGTATAGCATCAGGGGTGGCATTCTACTGGTTCTGTCTGGCTCTGTAGAACCGGTAGCTCTGAAGAGCAGCAGACATAGAACCGGTTCTATGTCTGCTGCTGTTTTGGCCCACCCGCCCGCCTGGGCTCTTACCTGACCTTTATTTCCTGCTTTTTCAACCTCAGCTGCCATGCAAGGCACAGCTGCGGTTGAAAAAGCAGGAAAAAAGTTCGTTTTCAAACGCTGCTTCCCTGCACGCAGCGCTGCTCAGCTGCCCAGGCAGCAAGCTGACGAAGATTTACACACACACGCAGTGTGCAGGGAAGCACATCGTAAATCACCAAACCGGTAGTTAACCCTGTTGGATCCCACCCCTGTATAGCATGTTGTGTGAACCCAGACAACTGTGGTTTATTGAACAAACCATGGTTAAGCAAACAGTAACTAAGCATGGTGTCAGCCTCTGACATGAGTTTGAAAATGGCAAACTCTTTTCGCAGTGGTCTGTTTAGCCAGAGAGGACAAAAGAAGAAAGAAATGTCAATTAATTAATTAATTAATTAAGAAGAAGAAAAAGAAGAAAATCAGATTACAGGTTTCTTGCCTGTCTTACCTTAAAATCCTCCGGGAGCAGCAGCTTTGAAGTTCTTAAGAAGCTCAAGATGTATCTGAATATTTCACCATCTCGATCAATGAAATAGTGTTGTTTTAAACTGTCCAAGACAATCGGCTCTGTGCCATTAAAGAGGCGGCTTATTCTGGGGAGGCAGAGGGGGGAGAAAAAGAAAAAAGAGTTGGCAAAAGGAGCAGAAGGCTGGGGGGGGGGGGGGGCGGGAAGGCAGCACGTCCTTTCTAAGGTCCTAGGGAGCTTTCCTTAATGCCATCTATACCAGGGGGGTCTCCAACCTTGGCCACTTTAAGACTGGTGGACTTCAACTCCCAGAGTTCCTCAGCCAGCTTTGTTGCCAAGGTTGGAGACCCTGGTCTACACTCACTTCCAGCACAGGAAGCTGCGGAAATGAAGTTTGTCCTGCAGAGTAAACCACACGCATCCCAAAGAGTCAAGTCACATTGCCATGAACATGACCAAGAACCACAAAGTGATGACAGTCACAGGACTAGCTGACTTGAGGAAGAGGAGAAGCCCAGATGACTCCAGCCCAGGGGTCTCCAACCTTGGCCGCTTTAAAACTTGTGGACTTCAACTCCCAGAGTTCCTCAGCCAACTTTGCTGGCTGAGGAACTCTGGGAGTTGAAGTCCACCAGTCTTAAAGTTGCCAGGGTTAGAGACCCTTGCTCTAGAAAGCAGGCCAAAGGAGTCGTTCTACAGCAGCCGTCCCTCCTTTCCCTCCTTTCCCGAGACTTGCAAAAGAAAGCCCTGAGGACGGGCTCAGATGGCTCTTGTTCAGGAAGACCCAACCACGACTTGAACCACACAACCAACCGAGTCCTCAGCAGAAACCCAGCCCTGATGGGCGTCCGAGATGAGGGCAGGCAAGATGTCCTGTGTGTCAGGATTCCAGCAGTCACCCCCATTTAAATCATGAGTCTCGAGCCAAACTTCCAAAGGATTTATTGGGAGTTAAAAGGTCCGGCATTGCCTGGGTGCAGCCGACCCTTGAGGCACATCATTCATTGTCACCCTTGACCCTGGTTTTCCCCCACCCCCTGGGTGTGTCATAATTCATATTCTCCAATCATCCATAGCCAAGAGTCATCCATCATGCTCTCCAGTTAGAATGTTGCACGGCACAAACTCCAGTCACCTGGTTACTATCTTTGAAAACATTTATGGAATGCCGTTTTGGTTTTCCAAGTGGCTGAACTGCTCCCCCCTCCCTTTCTGTTGGCAACTCTAAAAAGACCAGAGAAATATTTTATGGTCTTTTTAGAGTTGCCACTGTGCTCATCACAGGCAGCCATGGGAACTGGCAAGTCAGTCCTGCGGGGAGAAAGGGGGCATAAGGGGAATCTCCCCTAACCAGCTTCTGTTCTTGGCTCAGGAACCATGGTTTGTGAAACTGAAGGCATTGGCATCCAAACAAGGCATTTTTGCAATGGCTCCCCTCTTTTTAAAAAAATTCCAGCCATGTCTCATCTTTTGGGAGGGGGAAACTGCGTGGTGCAATCTCTTGTGGGGCCCAATGTCCCATCTGGGTTTTGTTTTTTTCCTGTGTGTACAAATGTAGCCTACTTAAAAAGCAAAACCCCAAACGGCTCCTTGTCAGAACAAGCCACACATTTCACTCTCTTGTCGTCTGCAACGTATCTCCAATCTTTTAAAAATCTCCCATGGCCGACTTTTCTTGCTGGAAGAATGCTTGCCTCTCTTCCCACTCCTTCTCCCCCCCCCTCTTTCTCTGCAGCTCTCCGCCGGAAGAAGAGAGGCCCCCCCAGGCATCTGGGCGCAGTTTTTTTGACTCAACACGGGTAGTTTAGGGACAGGCTGCTGCCTCCCTCCTCCCTGGATGGCCCAGATCGAAGCCTCCTTTTGATGTTGCCTTGTCTTCCCACTTCATGTATAATTTTCTTTCCACTATCGGTCCTTAATCTGGAGTTTCCAGTTCTTTCTAATTTAGTAATCATCCGCAGATTTCATTAATATACTTTCCATCTTTACACTCCTCTGGGTTGATTATAGAGATATATTTAATATTAGGAAGTTGATTAGGAAATCATCTTAGTAAGCGCCTCAGTGTGCTTGGTTACCTTGCCCCATAGCCACTCATTATTAGGCCCTGGGTTCCCAAAAGGAGCAGGAAGGTTTGGGTGGCAATCCAGTGCCTGCTACAGCAACTTGGCCAAAACTTGCCTGGATCCAAATCCTTGAGCCATCCTGCGCTTTGCAAGATCCTGGCTTATGTCAACGGGGGACACGCCCACTTCTTTGAACACCCTGGGAACCCTGGTAGTGTGGGGTTGCCAACACACATCAACGGGTTTTAGAGATACCGAAGATACCATCCGTGCTGAAGGTGTTATCTGTGAGAACCAGGGAATTTACCTGCAGCAACCGAGCCGGTTATGTGCAGTAATGAGGACCTTGTCGGGTTTTGAGAGCTTTCAGATGATCTAGAGATCAGAGAAGAAAGCCTTGAGCCAAAGCTAGTTGCAAGAATATTCTTTGTCTGCCCCCAGCATTGCTCAAGAGTAAACTTTGAGATTTGGAACAGCTCCTGTGCTGTTATTCTGGATCCGTATTAGCAGGACAACAACATTTACAGTGCAATTGTCTAGATAGCGTTCGAAACAGTTCACTGCAAAATAAATCTAACCAGCAGATGATCTTCACCAGGAATGCTTGCATGTCTAGGACCTCTTCTTGCTTGCTTACATTTGCCTTTTATTTTTATTTTATGTTTTTTGGCAAGCAGAAGAGCGTCCTTCTATTTGAACTCAAGGCCACCTGAGACTCCCTCAAGATTTCCTTGTTCCTAAATCACACGTTTAACAAGGTAGAAAGAGAGGAGGGTTACTTTATCGTATTTAATTTTGATGGTTTTATATACATATGAAGCAAATTCTATTTTTGTCCTGAGCTCAACCATTAGTTTCTATAATGCAGCCCTCAACATGTCGTAAAATCAGTGCAGCTTTCACTGTGGGAAAACCCACAGAACCTCCAGGGTTGCAAAAATACTTTGTGCAATGAAGGGTTAAATCCCCTCAGCCCATGACTGCAATTGGACTGGATCTGCTTTCAGCTCCTCTTGATTCAAAGCAGAATTAATCTACAGGAGGATAAAGTGATAAGGCTTGTCCTCAATTTTATATGGAATTAATTTAGCAATGCAGCAACGCTAACAAGAACATGGGTAGCATTAATGCATGTGGTTTGCTGGTGCTTGCAGGAAGTTTTTCCTTTCCTTTCATACGAAGGGCTGGTCTCCACCTCTTTCTCTTTTGTGCTCCCTTTTGTCACTATTTCATAGGGGGGGAAAAAGGCAAGGAAACGATTGGTCCATTAGTGGGAGAAAGCTGCAAGGTGGAAAGCGACAGGAGAAAGCAGAACCGCTTAATTTGTGTTTTGCATCTGGCTTTACACAAAAAGAAAAAACAGTTCAACCTATCAAAAGCAGTACTGTAAAAAAGAGATTAGGAATACAAATTAAAATAGGCAAGAAAATGGTAAGTGAGCACCTGTCCACCCCAGATGAGTTCAAATCGCCAGGACCGGATGGATTACACCCCAAGGTTCTGAAGGAAATGACAGATCTCAGAACCACTGAACTACGGTAGATCTTTCAAAGATCCTGGAGAACCGGGGAACTACCAGAGAAACTGGAAAAGTGCTGATGTAGTTCCCATCTCCTAAAAAGGGGAAAAAATAGATCCAAGAAACTACAGACCTATCAGCCTGACCTCAATACCTGGGAAGATTTTGGAAAAAAATAAGCAACGGATCAGCAAACACCTAGAGGCAAATGAAATCATAACCATGAGCCAACATGGGTTTGTCAAAAACAGATCATGCCAGAAAAATCTCATTGCATTCTTTCACAAAGTGACAAAATTAGTGGACCAGAGAAATGCTGTGGATATAATTTACTTGGACTTCAGTAAGGCATTTGATAAGGTAGAGCACAACCTACTACATGCTAAAATAGAAAAATGTGGGTTAGACACCAGATGGATTTGTAACTGGCTGACCAACCTCATTCAACATGTAGTCCTCAATGGAACTGCATCTACATGGAGGGAAGTATGCAGTGCGTACCCCAAGGCTTAGGCCCAGTACTCTTCAACATCTTCATCAATGATTTGGATGAGGGGATAGATGAGGAGCTCATCAAATTTGCAGATGACACCAAGCTGGCAGGAATAGCCAAACACTCCAGAAGATAGGCTTAAGATACAGAAGGATTTTGGGAGACTTGAACACTGGGCGCTATCTAAAAAAATGAAATTTAATGGTGAAAAAAGTAAGGTTCTACATTTAGGCAAAAAAAAAAAAAACCTAAATGCACTGGTATAGTATAGGTGGTACCTGGCTCAATAGTAATTGTGAGAGGGATCTTGATGTTCCAGTGGACAATCATTTAAATGTGAGCCAGCCGTGTGCTGCAGCTGCCAAAAATGCCAACACAGTTCTAGGCTACATTAATAGAAGATTAGAATCAAGATCATGTGATACCACTTAATACCACTTTATAATGCTTTGGTAAGGCCACACTTGGAATACTGCATCCACTTTTGGTCACCACGATGTAAAAAAAAATGTTGAGATTCTAGAAAGAGTGCAGAGAAGAAAACAAAGAGGATTGGGAGACTGGAGACTAAAACCTATAAAGAACGGTTGCTGGAACTGGGCTGGCTAGTCGAGGGAAGAGAAGGACCAGGGGTGACATGATGGCAGTGCTCCAGTATCTCAGGGGATGCCACAAGGAAGAGGGAGTCAAGCTATTCTCCAAAGCACTTGAGGCAGGGGTGGGCACCTATTCCCGGTTGTTAACATTCTAAGCAGTTCAGAGAACCGGTTGTTAGAAGAAATTACTGGCCTAATCCTGTAAGGAAGGCAGGAAGGAAACATTCTGGTGTTGCTTACAGAAATTGCCTCTCCGTTAACCCTTATTACATTCTTGGCAGGACTAGACTTCCTCTCTCAGGAACCTCTCTGGAGTTTTTTTCCCCTCCTTTGCTGGTACTTTGCTTGTGTGGAGTGACTATTCAAAGTTACAATGGCACTGAAAAAAGGGAGTTATGACCATTTTTCACACTTATGACTGTTGCAGCATCCCCACAGTCATGAGAGGTCAGG